TATATATATATATATATGGATATATATATATATATATATACATATATATATACATACATATATATACATATATATATACATATATATATATATATATATATATATATATATACATATATACATATATACATATATATATATATATAATATATATATATATATATATATATATATATATATATATATATATATATATATATATATATATATATATATATATATATATATATATATATGAAATTGTAATAGAGTGGAAGAGTTGTGTAATGCTATAAAAGTAATTGTGTCAAATTTTTTCATATTTTTTTATGTCTTCAGTTCACGCTAGAGTTTTATTTTTCTTACAAAAACACTTTTTTGCCTTTTTTAATTCATAAAGTTAATTCAAAAATAAAAATAATAAATTTTATGCATATACTAAAATTGAATAGAGAATAAACATTACACAATGACTTAGTTAGAAATGGTTACAATTTTAAAGAAAATATTTTAATGTCTTCAGCTGCTGCTAGAAGACTGAATTTCTACGAAAAAACACTGTTTCATGAGTTTCTGGCAAACAAGCTTTGCAGTCTGTACAGTGCATAATGTACAATTAAAGTTTTAACAGAGTGTAAAATGTTTTTGAAAAATGTTTAGCTTAGTTTTAATAAAATTCAACTATCTGATTCATTTGGATCTGTCTCAAACTGTCTTTTTGTCTTAAATGAAGGCATTATTTTTGGTGATGCAAGTCTTGCACAAATGAAGCCATCTCTACTAGCCAAACCACAAACTTGATCTGAAGCTTCAGTCACAAGCTTGATGCATCTCTCTACTCCTTGAGTATGGCATGAAAAATACTGCACACCTGGAAGATAAACATTTGTTAACATTTCAATTAGATTTTCATCTGAAATGTGAGTGGTAATCGGAGGTTCGCTTTTTAGTTCAAATTTTTTCCAATCAATTAGGCCTATATAGTCTTTAGATTCAAAATTGATTTCTGGTATAGAGGACTTTCGAACTTTGTTTGTTTTCATCAATCTTGCTTTCATTATTTATTGTAATGCCAATTTCCTCACAATTTAACGAGTATCCAATATCATAGCACAAAGCATGTTTTCTGGATGTGCAAAAAAAGCATTCCTTTTTATAACTGGATTAATGATACTTTTTATTTCACTAGTGGCATACATGGATAAACTGATGGTTAACCATAAATGTCTAATCAAATGAGGATTAAAGTAATTTCAAATGCAAGCTTATAAGTAACTGCTGACACTGTAGTTTGGGTATTGCATTGGCCGATAAATTATGAAAAATAAATAGAGGAAAATTTTGTCCTAAATTTCCACCATATCGCCTTGTTAAAATCCCACCCATTTTCCTCCGTTACATTCAGCAACTTGTACTTATTTGTGCTTTTGAAATTTTGCTCATAATGAACAATCAAATTTTTTACAAAAAGAAAGAGTAACTTTGGTTAAAATGAAAAAAATTCTTTTAAATAATGATAGAGATTTAGATGTTCCATTAGTGTGCTTTATGATTAATAACACTATTCATTTACAATCACAAGTTTATTCAAAAGGAGTTCCATGTTTTTTAAACAAGATTAGTGAGAATTTGCATTTTGAAACTTATCACTATGGTGCCAAAAATAAAGTTCCTACTATTTCTAAAAACAGAATTTCAAAAATTAACATATGGCCTATATTAAATAAGTTGACATTACATTATTTGAAAAATGTAATTAATGGAAGAAAAGAAATTGTAATTCAGAAACATTTAGCTTTTATGGGAACACAGTATGTTGGTAGTAAGATTTATTTTATAGAGGTTATTATTAGATCTTTTCAGTATTTTGCTACATCCAGAAGTTTCTATAACTGATTGCAAACAGATTATGAATTGCCTTCTGTAAAAACTTTTACAAGAATAAGTTTTTAAATTAAATTAGAAACATTTTTTGATAAATATTTTTCAATCTATTTAAGAAAAGCAGAAACACATACAAACTGGTCCCAACAGACAGAGTTCTCTGTAAATAAATGTAAATTATGAGTTGCTGATAGAATTTAAGAAAGTGCTTTTGGCACCACTGTACATCAAGTTAGGCCTCATTAAAAAATTTGTCACTGCTTTTGAAAAGGAGTTGGTGTTTTCTAAGTAACTCCAAGATTTTTTTCCAAAGTTGTCTGTGGCTAAGGCTAGAGCTTTGGTATCTTTGTCGGACTACAGATCAAGATCATAGAATGTGATAAGTCTGCTAATCTCCTGACCAGGATAGAGAGAGCAACCTAGAACATTTTTGTTGTAGTTATTTGTGACTTCCAGGAAACTATGTGGAGTTTACGCAACTTCAAAGTAATCCCTTTCATAGATCTCTTTAGTTTTGGGAACAAGAAAAAGTCACATGGGGCCAAATCCGGTGAATATAGTGGCTGAGGCATGATTGTGGTGTTGTTTTTGGCCAAAAAATCTCTCACAAGCAAAAATGAGTGAGGAGGGGCATTATCATGATGCAAAACCCATGAATTGTTTTTCCACAATTCTGGACATTTTCTTCGTATTGCTTCTTGCAAACGGCGCATAACTTCAAGATAATACTGTTTATTGACCGTACAACCATATGGTAAGAACTCCTGATGCACCACGCCATGGTAATTGAAGAAAACAGTGAGCAAAACTTTGACATTTGATTGAACCATATATCCATTATGCGGTAGTGGTGTAGTGGTAGAGCGCTCGCTCTTATTGAACGTACAACCATTTATTGACCATACCATTTATGACAAGCCTTGCTCGTCATTGGCATCTTCCTGGCCATCTTGAAAGAGTTTGTACCACTTGTAAACATTTTTTTTACTCAGAACAGTTTCACCGTATCCAGGCTTGGTCGGGAAACGGGTGCGATCACACTCGATAATTGACCACGGAAATATTATTTAGTTGTGAAAAACCGTCCAGGTGTTTTAGTCGTTTTGAAAACATTTCAAAAACAAACAAAAAAGCGCAATAAGATTAACTGGACCGACGAGAGACAGTTAAAAAAATATATATATAGCTTTTAATGCGAAAAAATTTTTGAAACGTCGCTCTTTTATAACTTTTTTATAAAATAAAGCAACATTTTTTAAATAAAGTAACAACTATAAAAAAACAAATGTTCTTCAATTTATCAAAGAGTATATATAATTTTTATTTATATACTTATGTCTTATTTCCAGTGCTATATTGAGGTGGGGTGGGGGTAGTAGGGCTATAGCCCCAGGACTCACAATGTTAGGGGAAATAGTCAAGAGGACCATTCGGTATTTTTTTAAGTCATTTTTACGCTGTGGCACATAAAAAAAGGCCGCCAAAATAATGCAGCCCCCGGCCCTGAAAAGACCAACAAGATTCAACCAGATGATTTATTTATAAATAAAAAAGTTTTTTCAATAACGGTTTTATGCTTCGCGTAGTTTAAAATGTTTAACACATTTGAAACAATTTTTCTTAATAAGATGAACAAATGAAATAATTAAATCATCGAGTTACTGTAGAAATTCAATTAGCTAGATAGAAATTAACAAAAAACATTAAATTACTTTGCAAGGAGGAAGCGGAACTGCTTCACAATACCGCTGATAATGTTTAGTGAGTGGGCTTCATAATTTTAATTTGTATTTAAAACAGAAAAAAGTTAGTAAACCAATTTCTAAGAACTTAAAAACTTTTCTTTCTTGAGAGAAAGAATCAGTTATCGGGTACACTGAGGAATGGATTAGTGGTTAAAATTATTTGTATTAACTTTGACGATTATTAATAATTTCATTGAAAACGCAGTTATTATTGAAAGTATTTTTGTTTACAAAATCAATAGCACGAATTGCTTTAAAAGATTACATTTAAATAAAATACACATAGATAAAATTACATACATAAAAATACATTACATACATAAAAAATACATCCCTTTTATATAAAAAGTAAGAATATACTAATAAAATCTAAAATATATTTACAAAACGTTGACAAGTTAAAAAATATAAATTTAAAACATTTATTATTGTAAACAAATAATGTTAGTTTAAAACATTTATAGCTTTGCAGATGTGGCTCCAAGAATTAAAATAATAGTTTGTTTGATAGTATACTCTTAAAATAATTTATGCTAGAAATCTCAACAAAAACATAACAAAATTCAAATAATACTGTTTTTTAAAATATTTCAACAGAATACTCAGGACATTCGGTTAGTTTTTTTGAATACTCTAGAAATTTCGGTTAGTATTTTTGAACCAATAGAATTAGTTGTCCGTAGATATGGCGGGTTTTTTGTGTTTGCGAATATTCTTTTTTTATTTTTCCGCACTTAGATGTTTGAGAACATTCAAGTTTATGTATGTTTCCATTTAAGTCCGTAAAAAAAAATATTTTAAAATTTACAACAAAATAAACTTATTATTTTGCGGACAAACAAGGAAACATACATAAACTTAAATGTTCTCAAAACGACTAAAAAATCTGGCCGGTTTTTCGCAACTAAATATTATTTGGGTGGTCAGTTATCGAGTGTGATCGCACCCGCTTCCCGACCAAGCCTGCGTATGCCACTGTCAACATTTCAAGTGTTTTGGAGCACTTTATTTTATTTTTTACACAAAATTTGATGCAAATCCTTTGATTCATATTTTTCGATAGCAAAAAATCCCCAAGCACGCAAAACACTTATAACCTTAACGCCTCTCACAACCAAACAAAAAATGCTATACACTTGAAAATTGGTACAGATGTTCGGGAAGAGTGTACCAACATGACAAAACAAAAAAATCAAATAATCGAAAGTAATTTGCCCGCGAAATTTGAAAAGTCATCTCAATTTTTAAGCACACCATGTATATTAGGCTTTTAACATGGTTAATCAAAATTTAACACTTGGACCAAAAATGTGTTATATATTGTTATTTGAATTACTTAAATAAATGTAAAAATCAAAACCAATATTTAAAAAAAAAAAATACTGTTAAAACCTGAGTTGCACTTTTATCAAAAACTTTATCGAATGTAAAATGTTTGTCTTTTCCAACAATAAGCTGTGGTTCATTTGGAATGCAACATAAACATGGATGCTGACTAAACTGAATCTCATTTTCAATATATGGACGGACCTAATCATATTATAACAAAAATTATTTACTTTAACTTAAGACAAACCATTAAAAGCATACAGCTTCAAAACTTAAAGAATTTTTACTCTTGCTATCACTTTGATTGGAACTTCATTCAGTGCTGTCATCTTAAAACACCTAAATATCAATACCAACTTACATAGCATACAAAGGAAAAAATAATTCTTTAAAAACCAATATTTAAATACCAGAAAATCAGGGGGGATGAGGAATTAATAAGTGATTTTCTACTAATTTATTATTGTTTGTTCTCTTAAGAACATTGAGCATTTTTTTTCGAACTTTTAAGAACATTTTGAGCACTACATTAAAATAATTGAAGAAACTAATAAAAAATTTTGACAAAAATGTATATAAATTATATAACCTAAATAAATCTTTATATATTTATATATGCATATATATAAGTATATATATATATATATATATATATATATATATATATATATATATATATATATATATATATATATATATATATATATACATTTTGTTAAATGCATATATATATATATATATATATATATGCATTTAACAAAAATAACTATAACCAAAAATAGTAATCCTACAGTTAAGCTGCATAAAATAATTCTATTTTCAGTCTTATTTATAGAGACTTAAAAAATATCAGAATACATTAATTATAAATATTATTATTATTCTTTTTAATAACTTTTTTTATGAATAATAAAAACTATTATTATTATAAATATAAAAATAATCATTACAAGTAACTATTATTATTTATTATTAATTTTTTGATATGCAATTTTACACTCTTTTCTGGTTTATAAAAAACCAAAAAATAAAATTATTTTAAGTCGCTTAAATGTAGGATTACCACAAAAATTACTAATGAAATCTAAATTCGTTATTTTAATAAGATTATGTTTCTTTATTATTTATTTTTTTTCAAATATTTTATACATAACAATACAGGGACTACTCTAGGAAAAAAATTTGAGCTGCGGTACCCCGTCGTTCTGGCGAACTTTAACGGAAAATCTGCGCTTTTTTCACAAAAAAAACAATATTTGCCGTAAAAAACAAGTAAAAAATAAATAAAAAAAAACCTCAAATTTTAATTTGAGCGGCACCCAAATACGGTTGACGCTATCAAAAACGGTCTAAAATAAACCCTGCAATAATTTTTTTGTCTATTTTATCAGAATTTAGATTTTTTTTTTTTTTACAGATTACATGTTTTATGTCTTTATATATATATATATATTTTTCATGTCAATAACACCAATGGCATGCAAAATATATTATAAGAAATGAAATGCAAATATTTTTTGACAACTGTAATCTGATCACAAAATGTCAACATGTTTTTGTGAAACAGAAATCATGTACCACAAATATTTTAGAGACTCAATTTTATCACATACAATTGATCAAAAAATATATCTGTAGATGTTATAATGCTAGATATTGCAAATAGTAAGCGACCGGGTCCCCGGCCCCTGCCCCGGCTAAAAACAAAGGTTTTTGCGAACCTGGCCCCGGCCCTGGCTAAACAAACACAATTTGCAGGGGTTACTAGCCGGGGCTAACAAAAATAAATTCAACTATTTTCTAGTATTTATCAATTTCTTTACATTTAAATACTTGAATAGCTCAACTATGTAATTCTAATGATTAAAATTACAATTAAAAAGTTACTTACATTTTAAATGTAAATGCAATTTTACAATAAATTTATCTTATGAAATTTATTTTAAGATATTTTAAACACCCTGATTGTTAGCAATTTTTAAATATTTCTTCAAATTATTAACTTTGTTTAAAAATTTCAAATAATCAATTTATTACATGATGGCCACTGATTTTTCCAAAATTTCCAGGTTGCTGGCTTGTTTGTTCTTTCATCCGGAAAGAACAAAGTAGATCAAATGGAAATATGGTGTCTTTAAAAGATAAGAAAAAAAATAATGATCTTAGATGATCTTAGTATGAGAGTAGTAGTTATATTTATAGTGTGTATCTAATGATGCCAATGATTAAGATGATGATGATCATTGTCATCATCATCATCAGAATCAACTTAATCATCATTATCAACTGTATGCTTGATGATGATGATGATGATGATGATGATGATGATGATGATGATGATGATGATGATGATGATGATGATGATGATGATGATGATGATAATGTAGATGATGATGATGATGATGATGATGATGATGATGATGATGATGATGATGATGATGATGATGATGATGATGATGACGATAAGATGATATATATACCTTTATATAAAATATATCATAAATTTTAAATAACAATAATATATTTATAAGGAATATCAATATTAATGCAGCCTCGGTCACAAACCTGGCCCTGGTCCCAGCTATGTTTTATTAAACCCGGACCCGGCCCCAGTCAAATATGAACCCCGGTCACTTACTAATTGCATTGTAAAAATATGTGCAGATGACACAAAATCTTATCAGCAATAAATTCAATTGAGGAAGCTAAATTAATGCAAAGAGATTTAAATAATATAGAAGAGTAGTCAGAAAAATGGTTAATCAAACTGAACGAGAATAAATGTGTAGTTTTTGCATTTGGGTAAAAACAACATAAATTCAATTACACAGTTAATGTATCGAAATTAACAATTAGACAAATGAGCGTGATCTTGGTGCAAATTTTGATACATCACTGAAATGGATAAAAACATAGTAACATGTTTATCAAATACCAATCCAATAATGGGGATGATAAAAAACATCGTTGTCTATCAACATCTTGTCAAGCAATTATACACAACTTTCGCTAGACCTCTGATTGAATTTGCAGCACCAGTTTGGTCACCAAACTACAAAGACATGGAAATATTAAAAAAGTACAGCACAGAATGACAAGGATGGCAAAGAACATAAGAAGTCTGCAGTACCAATATTGTTTACAGACACTTAATTTAACAACATTATTAAAAAGGAGACAAAGAGGAGATCTTATTTAAGTATTTAAAATTTTCAATAAGATCGAAAAAGTAGAACTTTTAAACAAACTTTCTCAAAATAACGTAGAGGTCACGATAAGAAAAACTGTAGACAACAAACCAAGTTTATACTGAGATACGAATTCATTATAAACAGAACAGCAAATTTATGGAACACATTGCCATTGGAAATTGTCAAATGTTAATTTCATAGATTACCCTAGTCATATTTTAAAAATCCGGAAAATGGTTTTGAAAAAATATCCGGAAATAATCCGGAACTTGTTTCCCCTTATTTTCTTTTTAATTTCGCTTTTTGTTAAGTTGTTTCCAATTTTTTTTTGATACTTTTCATAATTGTTTTTAAGTGATGAGTGAAAAAGCTTAAAAATAAATATATTACAAAAATATATACCTCAACTTGCATGTATTGAAAATATTTTGGATATCCAGAAAAACTAAAAGTTGAAAAAAATATCTGTAATTCCGAAAAGATCTGTAAAAAGATAATCTCTGCAATTTCAACTTTTTTCTTTTACCATTACAATGCCTTACCCAATTATAGTTTGGGCAGTACCTGTAAAAAAAAAACTGTTTGTTTCACCCTGCGGCCGCAAAGCCATTTTTAAATGTCTAAAATACTTAACTTTAAATGTCTAAAATTCTAAAATAGAATCTACTGGATAGATATATAAAATAGAGCCTACTGGATAGATATATAAAATAGAGCCTACTGGATAGATATAAATTCAGGCCTGGTTATGAAGCATTATGCAGTGCGCATTTTGCAAATGAAATGGTGATTTACATTTACATTTAACAAAATTTTTAACCATTTGGAACATTTAAACTTCTATATATAATATATGCAATATATGTAACAGAATCAAGGTACCTTATTCATGTTTTTTAATAATTAAAGACCTCGACTCAAAGGCTCTTTATAAGGCCTTGATAATGCACACCAAAAGCACTAACAGGGACACCTTAAATGTATAATATGGCACTGTTATTACTCTGATACTTTACAGTTAGAATTAAATTCTCTGAGCTTTTGCCTATAAAAGTAAATTCTATAAGACAGCATGAAATGAGACAAGTTGTATTAGATTACATGTTACTAGTTGCAGAGTGATTGCAATAGTCATAACCTGATTTGAATTCACAATAACTCTGAGGTTGCGATGATCCTAAACCTAACCTGAATTCACAAGTCTCAAACTGACTTGAGCTTACAATAATAATAAAAAAATCTAATCTGAGTTCACAATAACTAAATGTAGTCAGATAGCATTATTTGATTGTAATTTTTTTACACTCTTGATAAATTATTTAGGTCAACCATCAATCCATATTTGTATTAAAGCAAAAGAAAAAAATAAAATGCTAATAGCAAAAAAATTTCATACAGTCACATACTAAATCCCCATAATTTAGCACTTGACAAACTTTTAAATCTCAATACTCACTTTATAAAAAATTTTGAGAAATTCATATCTAGACTTCGAATATTTATCAAAATATATGGTTTTTAAAAAATAATGCAACTCTATAAATTTTTACCCAAATGATTCTTCCAATATTTAGCTACAGCAACATACTGAAGTCAAAATCAAAGTGACTCAAAATACATCCTTTTTTTTTAAGCATTTAGTAAAAGATGTAACTGCTTCTGATTAAAAAACAGTTATATTCCTACACTTTGGAAAACAATAGATCTGTATGATTGTACCTAGTGTTTTACCAGGAGATTAAATACATTTTGAAGACCTAATAACTTTTAATTCTACTATTATTTTTATATTTTAAACCATTATCTCTTAGATTTAAGTTTTTCAGGTAGATTTTTAATAATTAATATAGAAGTGTTAATTAAAAAACTTTTTTAATGCGATAAAAACTTTATTGACATTTGATACCATTTTCTATAATAGAAATTATCAGTGATGAAATAGAAAAAGAAAAAAACAAAAACAGAAAATTCATAATGTTAATGCTTTCAAGAGATGCTTTATATATATTTTTTTAAACAAATGATTAACAACCATATGATTAACAAACCAAATGTATCAATAGCTGCCGAATTAACACCCTTATATCAAGAAACAGGCTTTAAAGGTTGGCATCTTGTAAAATACAATGATACAAAACAATGAGTACTTGTCTTAGTAAGAATGTAAATATTTAAAATTCAACATCACATAACAAAAATTGTCACACATAACAGAACTCATTACACATGTAACAGAACTCATCACACATGTAACATAACTCATCATACATGTGTATAATTTATTTATATATAATTTTTTGAAACGATGATAAAATAAGATATAATTTACAAACATTAACTAATAAAAAAATGATTGTTCCAGTAATGGTACAATCATTTTTTTGTTATATTACTGAAACAATCAGTTTTTTTATGTAATGAGTAAAGTTGTAATCAAATTAAAAATTCAAAATTATATGTGTACTCATCAGCTATGCATAACGCATAGCTGAAACAAAACTGTAATATTAATTTATCAATATTGAAATATTAGTATATTATCATTTATAATTTTTTTTTTTAACATTTTTTTATATATTCCAAGCCTTCCCAGCAGATGCATGCAGATTTTTGTTTTGAATGCCCACAAATAAGTTTTTTATTTTAGACAACTTGGTAACTGCAGCTTTTAAGTTTTATTATATTAGGCATTTCAATACTTTGTGGGGAAAAAAAGTTTCAAAAACAAATGAAGTAAACAAAACTAACAAAATAGGAAATTAAAATAAATTCAAATAGAAAAAAATAAATAAAAATGAATAACTTATATAATTTGCATATTGTTTTTATTTTTGGTTTTTAGGGTGGTTGTTATTAAATTGAGTATTTGTAAAGATTTTCTTTTTTTGCATTACATATACTTGTTACAATAACACTTATCATTCGCAACCGGACTCAAAGACTAGTTACTTTAGTGGAATACATACAGCCTAGCTTCAGGGAAGAAGGAGAAAAGATTATAATAGAGTAAGAGTTACCTAATAACAATTAAAAGGTGTTGGACAGATGTCCAGTATAAAACTACAAAATTCAAGCAAATTAATATATAATAATATTGTTTATTGTATTTGTAATTGTAATTGTATTGTATTGTAATTGTAATTAATTGTATTGTATTGTAATTAATATATATTAATATTGTTTATATATATTTCACCAATAACATAGTAGACTAAAATGAAGGGGACGGGTAGAACTAAGCGCACTGAGCGGCATGTAACAGGTATCTAAAAATACAAAGTGCTAAAAAGTAACAGGTATCTAAAAATACAAAGTGCTAAAAGATTTGGGATAAAAAACGTACAGGAATAGAAAGGTAATATGAAACAATTAAGACTTTGCGAAAAATGTGTAGATGGTATATCAAAATTGAAGTTGAAAAACTATGTATATATGTGTGTGCACCTTACTTAGAAAATACACTGAGAGGCTTAAATGGTATAAGAAACCTGAATCTAAAGAAATGTGTATCATTCAAAAATATACAACAGAAAGATTTTTTATATACAAAAAATGGCACGCATCTCCTGTGAAGGCTTGCATTCAATATATTTGCTTATGAACCTTTGAACTTTTTGAACTTACTGTAAAAAATTAATAAACTTCAGTTTCTTTATAGCAAGGTATCATCCATAATCCATAATATTCAAAATGATAAATAGTACCTACATTTAGTTATAAATCTATTATCTAAAACAAAATTTAAATTTGAAATTTATAACTTTTATTTAGGTATTTAAAAAGAAAAACTTTGTCGATGTAATAAAATATTAAAATATGGGAACAAGTATTTTATTTAACAGTTCTATAAAATATTATTATAATATATTACAATAATGTTTAAGATTTTAAAACATTCTATAAGTTAAAAACTCATGTTTAATTAACGCTCATATGAAGAATAAAAATAGCTGTTGTTAGGAAAACAAAATTAAAAAAAGTCTCCATAATTAATAGAAATGTCTTTTCTATTAATTTTTTTTTTAATCTTTTTTCAGGATAAACAAGTTTAGTGATTTAATTTGATATTTTTTGTTAATAAAAAAAAACAAATTATATTAATTATTGTTGTAAGTTATAAATAACATCATTATATGAATATTTAAAAGATTTACAGATTTCAGTTTATATACCATTCCATGTTAAAACTGCTTTTCATATAATAATTGTTTATTTATTTTTAGAGTCCATTGAACTCCATGCTTTTCGTAATCGCAAAGCATGGAATATACCAACAATTTGCCATGTCAAGCCACATGCAATAATTGCCATCTTCATTGGAGAATCACGCCAACTATCTGGAACATTTTTGAAATCAGACATATCAACCTGCACTTTTTTTATTGATGCATACAAACCAAAAATCAGTGGAGCTATCCCAAACAAAATATTACCATAAATATAAATGCTTATCTTTTTATTGTCATTTTTAGCTAATGATCTTAAACCAACAAATGCACATATTCCACTTAAAACCCAAACCATTTCCCATTTTTCAAATGGCAAAAAATATTTATAACCAAGAGCTAGCACAATAAACTTTCCTACTAACAAAATGGTCATTAAAATATGAGGAACCATGCTTTTTCGAACCTTGGTTTTTAACGCAGCACTTTTTTTATAATGACTAGCAATACTTTCTCTGTTTGAGAAATCTGATCCATCAGTTCCTTCTGCTCGAGGTCCTGATCGTGATGCCATTTTTTCTATATAATTTTAAAACAAAAGAAATTATTTTAAATAAAAACTTCAGCAAAAAACATGAACAAATGCAAAGTGTTTGCATTTATAAAGACCACAATGGTCTTTGTCAACTTTTTTAACAAAAAAATACTACAATAAAAATAATATAATTAAATGCAATAAAAAAGTATAAACATTTAAATCATATTTATTGAATTATCTGAATTGCTTAAATAAAATTTAATTTTATTAATAAACTCATCTACTTTAATAAAACTTAAATTTTAAACACTTGATGCTTATTGATACTAAAAAAATATTCCTGTTTTTTTAATTTCTTTTTTTCTATTTAAAAAAACAAAAAACAAAGTAAAATAAAATTTTGTTTTACTTTTTTTAATGTTTTATAAATATAGAAAATAACAGCTTTGACAAAATAAAAAAGACAAAACTCATAAAGTACTATTACTGTAATGTATTACCTTATATTAACATACTAATATACATAATGTATTGTCAAAAGTCAAACTTTAAACAAATAAAACTATAAAGCAAATTTAACATATATAAATATTTAAAAAAAATAAACAATTAACACATTTGAAAGAAATAAAAACTTTACTTCTGTTAAACATTCCTTTGATAATTTTTTTTTTAATGTTTATTACCATAATAAACATATACAAACATTATGTGTGTATATATATATATATACATATATATATATATATATATATATATATATATATATATATATATATATATATATATATATATATATATATATATATATATATATATATATATATATACAAAGTATATACTCAAGCATTTTATAGACAAAGTATAAATTTAGATAAAAATAAAAGGTGAAAATTAAAAAATAAAAATTAAGTTTTTTGTTTTAAAAAACAAACTTTATGAAAACAAACTTAGAGTAATACAAAATATAAAAGGTTAACTAGATATTAAAAAAAATAATTTAAAAGAAGATTAAATTGTGACTTTCAAAAATAAATTTTATATACATTTTTTTATATAGTCAATATATATTTAGTCTTTTTATTCTTTCTGCAAAGTGGCCAACTTATTACAATTTTACTCAATATTAAAGATATCATACAACTAAAAATATCATACAATTAAAGATATATAAAAAAGCAATATTAAACTGAACAAACTTTATGGTGATACATCTTCCAGTGTACTACTTGACAGCTTTTCGAACAATATACAGTAAGTTTACATCTGGAGCATTTCTTAAACTTGGTTGTTTTCTGTAATTGCAAGCAATCTAAGTTAGAACACATCAAAATTCTACCTATTTGAGACTTTATAAACTTTTGCCTGCCTATAGTTCGTCCATCTTGCTTTAAAAATATAATATCATCATAAGTCAATGCTGCTAGTTCATTGAAATCCTCATCTAATGCATACTTTTCTCCGATATCAAGAACAAACTTGCCAACATCAAGATCAACAAGGTCTTTTTTACAATTTTGTGTACCATCACATAACAAGCCAAAGCAACAAATGATTGACTTTAAAGATTCTTCTGAATAATTTGAACTATTACTTAAAACAGATAATAAACTTACAATGATTCTAAGTTCATGAATTTTTTCAAAGAAGTCATCTGGAGCACCAACAAGTGCAGAAGATAAAAAATTTGTGGTTGCTTTTACAAGCTTACCATTATTTGTTTGATTTGCTAACAACAAAGCAGTTTTAAAAGAAACAAGAACAGTTTTATCTCTCCAAACATATTTTTGTGCAATTGGAGAAAAAAGAGTTAAATTTAGAGAGCTCCATAACAAATATTCAAAACTTGCATTATTCAAAGAAGTTTGAAGCAAAATTAAAATATCTTTTATGCAATATTCTGCAAACTTCTGTAACTTGGCGAATTCTTTGTCATAACAGTCATTTAAATGCTGCACAGTTGTAAGAAATTGTTCAATTTTTTTATGTTTAATATATTCGAGAGCTTCCAAAGCAAATAGTTCAGGGTTTGAACTAAAATCTAATAGGTTTGTCATCTATATTTGGATAACAATAACAACAAGATATAAATTTGATTACAACTATTACATTAAAAGCAAGTATTAAATGATGTAAAAAACAATAGTAATACTAAAATAAATCATAATAATAACTAAATAGAATTCTAAATAGTATAAGAAATTGACTGTTAAATATGTTGTTAATCTAACAGCAGTTAAATTAAAAGAATGAAACTAAACATTAAAAATATTAACAATCAGCAAGACTGTTAATAATAAAATTTCAATATGAAAAAGTTAAATTATTATAAACAGATCAAATTAAAAGTAAGCGAATGATTGATAAAAATGGTGTCACCAAACAAAACTCTAATCATAATATCTTAAACATATGTAACTCTCTTTAAGAATATAGCTGTAGGTTATGTATAATATACCTTTATTTTGTTAATCATTTTACAATATAATTGAAAAAAGTATGGAACATTCAAACTTAAGCCATGACTACTCTGACAACACTTGTTATCTATCTTTTTATTTTATTCTTTTCATTATCTAAACGCCTCTAACAAGACTGCAAGCAAGCACTAATAAAGTTAAGAGTTAACAGAAAATAAAATAGAGAATTTAAGAATAAGAAAGCTGTTGATAGAAAACTTAAATTGTAGGAGCCAGAAAAACATGAAGATGCAAGAGATTTCCAAAGTTAAACCTATTAATAGAAAACAAGGAAAAATTAAGCATAAGCTAGCATCATAGATAAAAAACAAATCAAGGTAAATGATTTGGATTGTGTGAAAAATAAGTCAAAAAGTTAACTATATGTAAAAAAAGATTGCAAAAAGTTTTGAGTTTTAGAGCTATCAGGGTGAGTAGTATAAGAGCCAAGCTATTAAGTGTGATGAGCATTTAAAACACCAATAATAATAATATTAACTGAAAGAAAGAGAGAAAGGATCAAATAGATCTAAAATAACATCAAAAAAAGTGCAGTCTTAAGACAAAAAAGGACGATAAAAACTGAAGAATCAAGAGTTGCTAAACAGAAACAAATAAAAGAATGTTCAGTGGATTCAAACCTGATGTCACAACAAATAAGTGAACTGACACAAAAGTATATGCCTAGGCAATTGACTATTAGAGTCTTTACAAATTAAAGGATAATAACCATCAATGCTGAGATCTAAAAATTAAACTAGTCTCACAAAGAATGAGTCTGGCAAATTTTTGCAAAATGAAAAATGAAAAATGCTTCAAATCTCCATATTTGATGCTATGAAAATGCTTGTTTATTCTTGAAAAAAAGTTTCAGAAACCACTATTATTAAATGCTTCTGCAAAGCAAAATTTAAGGAAGGATTAGGAGTACCAGAAAAAGATAATTTGATCAGTTACATCAGTATAATAAGAATCTTGTTTCAGATGACTTATGAAGATATGTAAACAATTGATGATGACCTTTTGGTTTTGGGAGGAGTGATGACAAAGAAATTGTTTGATATATCATTAAGGTAGTTGACAAAAAAATGCAAGAAAAAGAAAGAAATAAAACAACTAATGAGGCAGTGATAAGCAACAACTGAAAAAGTTTGTAAAGCAATTGAAATCTTTGTTTTCGATGTTTACTCATACTTTTGCTCAGAGTGGTGAAATTCGAAATTTTGAATGTAAATTATAATTGAATAAAAAATTAGATTTGAATGAAAAATATTTTGTGTATATAAATGCCTTTATTATAAAGTAAGTATTAATATAATTTACTTTTTTTTTTTTTAATTATTTTCAATTTTTTAATTAAATTGCAAAAGAAAATGACTATATAGTAGTATTTTTTATTTGAATCTCTTTGTATAGATGCAATTAAATAATTGATTTTAGATCATTGTAAATTTTATTAGTTTTTTAAAAGATTGAGAACCTGAGAAAATTGTAAGTTGCTAAAATGAACAATAGAGAAAATGGTTTATATAAAGAAAAAAAACCAAATACGAAAACAAATGAGTACATAAAAAATTAAAGACCAGTTAAATGAATTAATATTTTCAGATTTAAATAATTACAGTAATTACCAATGCAGTCAGACCTTTGAAAAAGATATATCAAAATCAATGCGAGCACTGCCAAATTTCTAACTAAATGTAAAGATATTTTGCTAATCATGTCATCTTCTTTTTTTTTTTTTAATAAAACAAGAAACTAAAAACTTATATAAATGAAAAAGATAAGTTAGTATTTGATATTTATTACAAAACAGACATTCACTTCACAATGCCTGGTCTAAAAGATGAAACAACAATGTGGGAAAATAGAAAGAAAAAGAAATACCTTTTTGCAAAGTTTTTTAGATATTTTTAAATAAGTTTCAACTATTTTTTAATCAAGTTAAGGAGAGGTGAAACTTTCCTGAATGTTTTATAAGCTAAGAACTAAAAATATGCCTCTTTTAGATGAAATACCTGCAGACCAGTAAAAGTACTAATTCTAGCTTATTACTGAACGCATTATGCATCAGCTATAATTGTTAATGGTAATTATATAATCTACAAACTGAATTGTGAAGTAAAAATTCTTTTAAATTGTTTACAGGTGTTGTTTTTAACAACAATAAATGCAAAACATATCTTATCTTTTTAGACACTAGAGAAAAAGGCAAAGATGTTTACTAGCTTTTAAAGAAATTATATAAAATACTTATGTCTGAAAACTGCAATACTGATACTGGAATTCTTTTCACCATCTTCAGAATTTAAAAATAAGTTTATGATTAAATCACTCAACCAGTTATCTTTGCAGTATAAAAATAAAATTTAATGGAAATATTTTGCAAATTCTCATGGAAAAGGGGGTTTTAGATGGTGTTGAAGGAAAAAGCAAGTTTTTTGTCCAAATAAAATGTATAAGCAAAAATGAGACAGTACAAACATCTGTAGATTTTTTCAATATTCTGAAACCACTTATGATAGCTACTACTATTTTTCTACATTTGCTATGATGAAATCAGTAGTAAAATAGACAACAACAAAAAGCAAAACAAACAAAAAAACACTGGAAATATGCCAATGCTTCCAAATAGATGATTGTCATTTTTTAAAATAAGTGAGTCAAGATTATCTGATTTTAAAATAAAGTATATTGATTACATACAAGCTCCTAAATTATTACTCTAATCTCCAGAAATAGTTATTAATGATTAATGCCTTGTGCAGAACAATGAAATTATGTATTTTGGTAAGGTAAAGCTTATTAAAACTATTAAAGTACAATTTGTATATGCATTATGTTGATAAAATATGAATTTAAAAAAAATTATTTTAAATTTAACAAACTTAATGGTTGTGAAATTTAAAACAATATTTTTAGCATTGAATCTAATACACTCTAGTATAACTATGTAACTATACTGAGCAGAGAAGCATAATAAGTTAAAAAGAGTGTAGCAGATTGAAATAAAAAAGATACAAAAGGACAGATGTCCAGTGGAAAACAAAAAGTCACTAAGGAGTAAGTTACTAAAACTTAATCATGATAATATGTAGTAAATATAAAAAAGAATAATAAACAATAGTCAAGGATGGTCAAAGTCATCAGTTGTCATGATAATGAATTTATAAATTCAAATAGTAAATGTAATGCATAAAATGTCAATAGTGGAGCAGAACTATTCATTTTATAAGTGGATATTATGCAGTCTGTGTTATTAGCGAAGTAAACATACATTACAGATAAGTTTCACAAATACCTCACAGATAGCTATGTATGAATCTGTATCTTTTGGTACAGCATGAATACAAGAGAACATCCAGCTCTCATCTCAGACTGGTATCTCACAAAAATATTCACTCGGCTTTACACCAAGGTATGTCATGGCGATGATTGCCATATACCACTGCTCTGGTGTAACACTGTGTAAACTTTTAATATTCAAAGTTCACACAGTTTCACACATTTTACAAAACGTGTCACACGTAACAATGTGTGGGCCCCAGTATATACAATAACTGATTATTTAGGTAAAACATGCAAGGGAATGTTGCTACGTAGACTGAGGGTTTAGGTTAGGGCAGTAATCTTTATTTTTTATTTTTTATTTATTTTTTTTTCTTTCTGTAAAAATAAACTTACACTAAGTATTTTCACTAAGTACTACAAAATCCTATCACTATATATAAAGGAGATCTATTAACTATTGATCAATTTGAGCTACTAAAACAAATGTTAATAATGAAAAACACTTATTGCTTTTATTATTACTTTACTTGCTAAAAGCAGGGCAATAAGTTCACGACTTTGAAGCTCAATTTAAATCTTGTTAAAAAAAACCTTGCCTTTGACTGTTTTGAACCCAAAGGTCAGTTTGAAACTTTTTTTAAAAATTTTTTGTGACTATAAGTAGACATTTCACTTATTTAAAATATCTTATTGGTTGTTTTACATAAGTTATATTCAACCAAAAATGTTGCCAAATAAAAAAAACTTATCTTATTTGTTAATTTAATCAATAACGTTTATGAAAATAAACATTTCTAATTGTCTAAAGAGTATAAAAAAGAAACAATTTTTTTTTTTTAGAAATATTTGAAAACATGTTATTAAAGCATATTTTTCATTTTAACCTGTTACTTTTTAAATAATACAATTTCTAAACTTTCAATTTGTATTCACACTTAAGCACAAATACAAATTATATTTCCAAACTATATTGAAAAAAAAATTTTATTGAATTTATTTCTTTTTATTTATTTATTATTAGTAGTAGCATTTAGTAACACAAAACATTCGAACTTTAAACAATAAAATATATACAACACATCATATGTTATATATACTTCGCTGTTTAAATTGCGTTGTTTAAATTTACTTATATTGATTCATATGTCATATGAATCAATATGAGTAAATAAACTATACTTGTACTTTTATTAGTAATAGATATTTGTAAAAACTCAATTAACTAAAAAAGCAATTCTAGCAATGTTTTAAATTCAGTTGTAAAACAATTATAAACGTTATTTTTATTTAAAATAGATAACATTCTTATTTATTAAAGCATATCAAACGAATATAATTCCGCTTTAGAACTTATATTAACCAAGCTTAACCATTGAGTTGGTCAGATGGACCATTCTAACCATTCGAATGGTTAGAATGGTCATTGAATATTCAATGGTGTAGGTTAAACAAGCGATTTAAATACTAATTTTTTTTAACTTTTAAATAAATCTCATAATACTAACCTTTGTAGTAACAAATACAGCTTATATTATAAAAAAAAAGTTATTGCTTTTTTCAATTGCTGGCTTTAATACACCTGTTATTACCAACGTCACAAAAATGAACTGCCTAAATGATTACGCCACTCTGATTTTTGATAATTGCATTTTGAAACAACTTTCGTCGTTAATTAAAAAATAAAACGGCAGCCAAGTTATAATTATCAATTTTACCAATAAACAATGTGCTAAAATATAAGTAATAGCAAAACAATAAATTATCAAGAAATTGATTTTAATGACAAAAGTTCGTTACCGGATATTTAAGCAATCTGACCTGCCGGTTATGACTTCGACCGTTCGTACTCGGCCATCTTGACCGGCAAAAGTAATACGTATTAAACTACCATTATACTTTTTTTGTTATTATTTTTTAGGTGACCCAAGAAGACCTAAAGGTCTTGTCACAAAGCACCGCGGAAGTGCATTTAACCAGGAAGTTCAAGCCTCCTTCCTTACCGTGACGCGAAAATATGTCCAGAGCTCGTTTCGAACCTGGATCTCCTGCTTATAAAACATATATTAAACAACTCTTCAATTTATTTTTTCAGCTTTTTAAATCATTGTTACACATATTGTGTTATATTACAGGTAATATATCCAAAAGTATATACATAAAAACAATTATAAAAAACTTATATTATTATAATATTATTTTTTTTTAACTTCTTTTAATTTTTAAAAAATCGAATAAGAAATATATAAATGAATTTAAAAAAATAAACGTGATTACTCCTAATAGGTTAGTTTAGTTTAGTGATCAATAATTTAAAATATTTACATCAATCCGTAATAAATTTATAGACTTTGAAAAACCATATATGATCGCAACTTTTAAATTACCATTAAAGATGTGAAGCATCTGGCACCTCTGTACTAACAGTCTTAATATACTCGAGCACATCTGCGTCACTAGTACCATACTTTTATAACATAATATAATACTAGAAGCATATTTGACGAGAGTTTATTTTCAGTTTTCTTTTAAAATTTTCTTTTAACTGATTTAATTGTTCATCTAGTCGATTTTTGAACACGTTTGCCGAAGTCGCGTCAATTATTATTTGCGGCAGATTATTCGACTGCAAAACAACGCTGTTCGTGAAGAGTTTCTTTCTTGGCATGCAATTGAGTACTCTTTGCTGAGCAAGTCTTTGATTATGATCACGCATAATATACATTGACGACGAAGGACGATTGAATGGTATGTGAAAGTTTATTTCATCGATTTCACGCATGAACTTGAACATCAGAATTAAATCACCTCTTATTCTTCTTTCTTAAAGTGTCATTAGCCCTAACATGACTCTTCGCTGCTCGGCGGTGCGCAGAAATGGTTTTTGTAGCACGTTTTTGAACATTTTTTAGCGCTTTCTAGCGTACTCTAGGTGAGGACGAACATACGTAGTATTCAGTTCTTTCCACAGTGAAAAACTATGGCTGCGAAAAGTTTTTTTCAGCCTCCCTAAGGAGCGGTTCACCGCACTTGTTTAAACTTGAGCATCAAGTTAAAGATCATCTGAGATATGAACATCTAGATCTCTCTCTCTCTAAATGAGTAACTTCGATTGCAAATAACAGGCCGTCTGATCCCGGCATGAAATAGTCTCGTTTTGATCCTTTTTTTCCTCGGCCAGTATTCATGACTTTACACTTTTCAGTATTAAACGTCATGAGCCAGCAATGTGACCATTCAATTGCTTTGTTTAAGTCTGTTTGCAGACTCTCCGCGTCCCGGTCAGATTTTATGACGCCAATAATTTTGCTGCCGTCAGCGAAGAGTTTGATCTGATGTTCCGATTTGTCTGGAAGATCATTAATGTATAGAACAAACAGTAATGGACCTAAGACCGAACCTTGCAGTACGCCGCTAGTAACATTTTTCCAATCGGAAGTACGCTTTCTAATTACGACTCTCTGCTGCCTTTCTGAAAGCCATGTTTTAATCCATGGGTAAAGCTCCTCTTTGATTCCGCATTTTTAAGTTTTGTGGAGAGATCTATTGTGTAGAACTCTGTCAAAGGCTTTTGCCAAATCCGTGAAGATTACGTCTGTAGCGTATCCTTGGAACATAGCTTCTGTTAAAAGATCAAGTGTTTCCAAAAGGTTTGTCAAGCATAACTTTTTAAAAACGAAACCGAATCGGTTTTTGATATAAGACCGTTTATAATACAATGATTTAAAATCTGGTCTTGAACAAAGTAGTCAAGTCAGGTTATCCTGCTACTAGTAACATGTAACCCAGTACAACCTGCTACATGTCCCGCTGCCTAGTAGGGTATGCTTTTTTAGGCAAAGACTAGGAGAAGTCAACACCAACTTAAAAAACCCTTTGCTTTAGAGCACTAAAATTTGACTAAATTTGACTAAAGGGTAAAGATGGTGTCTTGATAAAACTGCTTATCTTGGGCAGATGTTAAACGCATCTGGCTACTGTCTTATAGAATGCCTCCTAGGCAAAGACTTAAGGGGTAAACAGATTCTATCTGTTGACCGGCCTCGCACTCCTTTTTCATCTATTAGGCTGACGCAGATGTATTTTTAATAGATTCTTTCCAGATTAGGATGTTGAACGCTGGATCTTCTTGACTCAATGTATGGGTTTTTCTTGTGTCTTTATTTTTATGACTAGACAACTCATTCTATTATCTCTTAATGAGGGAGCTCTAAAACTCAGTTAAATGGTTCTGAGGTCGGCTGGTAGTCAAGTTTCCTGAACTCTGTGGTAGCTCTTAAAGAGGCTGATTCCATCAACAGCTGATAAATATTAGAATTCTAACAGTACCATGTTGCGCATGGATGGTGTCCCTGTTTGTACTTTTGGTGTGCATTGTTGAGGCCACATTTGGAACCCTTTGTTACAACTTAGGGTTTATTATTAGTAATGAGGCAATTGCTTGGACTATTAAATAGTGCGCTGAGTACTATATATGCTTTGAGACAAGTTCTTTTAAAATTTTATATGACCAAAGTACTAAAAACTATGAAACACAAAAAGCCATCGTCATCACCAAGTTCTCTAAACCTATCATTCACTAATAATTGGGGTCTTCAAAGTAACTTGTCTTCTGTTAAGTCTTATCTCTTACAAAGTTCACCAGACTTGCTCTTTGTGAGACTAATTTGAGTTCAGCTGTCTCTTGTGATCTTAGTGTTGATGGTTATCTTCCTTTAATTCATAAAGACTACAATAGCCACATACTTGGCCTCGGCATTTAGATTCGTACGAATTCACCCATTTGTCGCGAAACTAAGTTTGTATCCACAGACTATTCTTTTATGTGCTTTCGTTTAGCACCACTTCACTCTATCGCCTTTCTCCTTGTTCTATATTGCTCTCCTTCATTTAAAGGCTGCACTCTTTTTGATGTTATTTCTGATAAAATTAACCGAGCCCTCTCATTTTATCCATCAGCAAATATCATTGCTGTTGGTGACTTTAATGTTCATATTATCGTACCTCATGCAACTACCTTAAAGCTGACTGGGGCAATTTTCAATTGAAACCGTTACTTCCATATCAATCAGCAAAACAATTTTCCAGAAAACTAATGTCTGTTTATTATAGCTAGAAACCATTGAAAAAAGGATTATTTAACGCTAAATTCTTAACGTCGCTTTTCTCAGGTCATAAAATCTCGCATTTCATTACCAAAATTAGGTTCCCGTGACTTCTGGAGAATCTTTAACACTATCAATAATAACGGCAAATCTGTTATTCCGCCTCTTTTGTATGGTTCAGACTTTGTGACTTCACCTAAAGACAAAGCTGAAGTGTTTGCTAAGAACTTTTCATCAATATTATCTTATGATTTCACTAGTTGCGTTTTACCTGATACGTCAAATAGGTTGATCCATTGCTTAACATTCGTATCACTCCAGCTTCTGTATCAAAAGTGATTTCCCGATTAGACTCTTCTACAATTTGTGATCCAGACAACATACCTGTTGCAGCCTTAAAGAAGTATTTTCCAGAGCTGTCGTCTATACTTTAAAAACAATTCAACAAGTGCTTATCAGAATCTTGTTTTCCAGTCTGCTGGAAATCAGTATCTGTTATCCCTATTTTAAAAAATTCTTGAGAGCAATCTGATTTGTCTAACTACCGTCCCATTCTTCTTCCTATCAAAAGCAAGGTTCATGAATCTTTAATTAAAAAGTACTTAGCCTCTCATCTTGAATCTAATAATTTACTTTCTGATTATCAATATGGATTTCGATCTTCTCGTTCTACGGCTGATTTGCTAACAGTAACAACCGATAGGTTTTATCGTGCATTAGAGAAAGGTAGAGATGTTACGACCATCGCTCTTCGCATTTCTAAAGCTTTTGATAAAGTTTGGCATGCTGGTCTTCTCCATAAGCTTTCTTTTTACGGTCTATCTGGAAACATCTTTAAAATTATTGAATCTTTGTAAACATAGTTAGACCTGCTCTTGCAGCAAACCTCTTCTTTCTCTTTTCTACAAATACTATAATGGGCACTGCTCTAAAGAGCTAGTGTCTCTTGTGCCATCTACTAAAATTCATTCTCGTGTTACTCGTTATTTAATTAAGTCTCATCCTTTTTCTGTGACTGTTCCTAAGTGCTCCAAAAAGTCTTATTCATCTAGTTTTTTTCCTTGAACATCGGTTCTTTGGAACATGCTTGCTTCATCTTGCTTTCCTGATTCATATAACTTGCAATCTTTAAAGTCGTCTGTCAATCGTTATCTTGCTCTACAAACTTCATCTTTTCTCTTCCAGTAACTTTCAATTCTAAAATTCTAATAGTGCTTGCTTGCAACCTTGTTGGAAGCAAAGATGTTAAAAAAAAAAAAAGGTCCATAACTTTACAAGGAATACTAGTGAGTGGCCTGTGATTAGATGCTTTTAGTTTGGAGCGCTTTTTAGATAACGATGTTATATTTGAGCGCTTCCATTCGTCTGGCATCTCACCTTTAGAAACTGAAGTCTGAAAAATAAGGGTAAGTGAAACGGAATGCATTTTGAGTAGCCTTGGATGGACGCTGTTGATGCCTATTGCCTTGTTACCCTCAGGGTTTTCTTAACGGTAACAAGACAATAGGCATCGACAAATGGCATATAGGCATCAAAAATGCATTTAGTATCTCTTGATATTATTGGCATTTTTGACATCGGACGGCAAGTTATTCCGAATGTTAACAATTCTGAGAAAAAATAAATATTTACGAACATTAAGTTGATAATTTAGTTTGCGTAACTTAAGTTTAGTTAAGTTAATTATAAATATAATTGATAACTAAAAAAAAACTCGATTCATAAAGACAAACAAGGTAGTT